GTATCAACGGGGGGGAGACGCAAAGGTCAGCTAAGCGGAGGACCACAAAAAACTTGCCACGGGTGTAGAACTCCGGACAATAGAGTGACGGGAGGAGAACAACACCCTTGCCAGGGAGGAGGAGAGGCGTGCCAGTACTGGCTGTGCCGGTGTTGCATGGAGAAGTGGCTGCGATCGTCTGCACAGCTCTCACACTTCATGTGCTGCGTACATTTCGAAAAGGAACCGTGCCCGTGCGGAAAGAGGTGAGAGATTACGTTAGGGTTGGTAGTAGTATTAGCCCTGTTGCAAGACAACATCCTTTCCTCCGAACTATATTGACTCCTTACGGAAAAGGGAGCGACATGTGTAACGCACTTCGAATAGTTGTGGTAAATGAGTGCAGGTGTCAATCGAAGGGGTAGACAGTCCGTCGAGCACGAATCCTATGTGTAAAACCGGGGTAGGTATTTTTCAGCTTAGTTGTCGTCCATGAGACCTCCATATCCTTGAAGCCGCTCTCTTTACTCTCAATCATACCTCTCATCTATGCTACGACGAAGTGGTTGACCACCTTTGTATCGCCTCTTATACATAGCCTAACCATGAGGCCTATCCACCCTCCACCCTGCATCCCCTCAATATCACGCTGCCCTCGACGCTGCCCGCAACGACTACGATAGGAAGAAAAATGCCCGAAAAGGGCCCACCTCCCTTTTGGACCGATCTACGCAGGCCAGGACTCGAAATGTGGGCACGAGCGTTTTCGAGCTGCCGTCGACCCAGACAACACCAACGACCGCCGATTCTACTCCGACACCGGCGCCGACGCCACGAGAGGGCACAACATACTCAACGTGCACCTCGGTTGGCCAGAACCGGGTATCGGTTGTCGAATCTAACGGCCGCTACATGTGTTCACGGCCCGAGTGCAAAACGTGAGAATGTGTATGCGCTGGATGAACATGCTGGGCGTTTGGTGGAGAACCTTGTCTACTCATGCGAGGACCCTGAACTGATCGGCTCGTTGGGATTCTAACTTATTGTATTTTCTGCGTGCAAACACCATCCTGGTGACTTCCCATTTTTCCTTCCTCGTAGGCGACCAGCTCTCGTCCCCGGTCTAAACTCCACCCGATCGAGCTAAATTTTCTGTTTCTACTCTTGACCCTTGCAGCATCGAGACCCTCTCCGCAAACGCAGCCGCTGGAGGTGACACGGAATGTGTGCTGCNCGGTCTAAACTCCACCCGATCGCGCTAAATTTTCTGTTTCTACTCTTGATCCTTGCAGCATCGAGACCCTCTCCGCAAAGGCAGCCGCTGGAGGTGACACGGAATGTGTGCTGCGTAGACACTGCGCCCACGCGGACGTAGTAGTCCAAGCAAAGGCTTCATCGGTACCGATGGCAGGAGCAACAGCCCTACTTCCCAGCGCGGAGGAGTTCCTGCGAGCACTGGATGCTGTCCCCACAGGAACTTTTAACAAGCACACGATGCAAGCCATCCGCGCACGCGTTGCTCGGGCGGAGGAGTTGGGCATTCCGGTGCTTGTGAAACTGGGGGACACAAAGTTCTTTGCCGTGAGGGACGGCCCGAATTTCAACCGCAATATCGTCGGAGGATGGGCGCACGTAAAGTGCGAGGAGTCGGGCGGGAAAACAACGCTCCGGTGCAAGGTGGGCCAAAGGTTGAGCTTGATTTTGGGGTTGTGCAACCGCAGTGTCTGTTGAACTCCATGAAGGTCCTTGTGTGTTGACTATTTCCAAACCACGTGTTCCGCAGAAGAGGACGTCGACACACAAAATATCTGTGGGGACAGGCTTTGAGGCG